AAATAATTAATACAATTATATTAAAAATAATATAAAAAATTATTTTTAAATTATTTTTTATATTTTTTAACAGTAAAAAAGCAAACTACACAAATAAGGTACAAAAGGTGATCGTCTTGCATGCACTTTAGAGTCACCGAAAAGTGCCCCTCACATCTAAAACACAGAAACGCCAGCCCCGGGGGCCCATGCTAAGAAGAAAGAATTCAACTCAAATTCCCTTCTTCCTAGATATTGCACACAGTTTTAGATTTGAGCACCTATCTACAAAAGAGAATGGCTACCATTCTACCCTTGCACTTAACCAAACAAAGGATCTACTTAGTGCTAGCTCCATCACACGGTCCACCTCAATACTTTCTACTCTTGAAAATTTTCACATTTCCATCGATCAATGTTGACCAACATGTTACAAACCTAACCAAGGTTGTCAAAATCGAGATTTTACTTAAAATTGTTTTGACTAGGTGAAATCGGAATCGTAAAATCGAATCGGTAAAATCGAGATTTTATAAAATTTAATATAATATATAATAAGTTATATAAAATTAAAATTAAATAACAATAAATCAAATTTAAAGTTAGAAACTTCAAATTAACTAATTAAAATCTAAATATCCAATAACACAAATAAATTAAACAAAGAAAATGACTAAAGAAGATGACTTAAATTTAGAATTTTAGATGGTTAAATCAAATTTGTCTCGAATTCTCGATTAAAATGTTGATTTGTGGTTGGGTTGTGTTCGTGGGCTTTTAAAATAAAAAATGAGCTTAATTTATAGATTATCTAGTCAAAACTCATTAATCTAAGATAAAAAACCCAAAAGGAAATAGGTAAAAAGTCCAACTGCCAAACAGAAAGTAAAATCGAGATTTTACCTGATTTTACAGTAAAATCTAGATTTTACCTGATTTTAAATTTTAATATAAATTTTACACGAAATACCTTACTAAAATTGTAAAATTGTAAAATTTTAAGATTTAAATATAGGTTTTAACAACACTGAACCTACCCACTACCCAATATCTAACCATCTATTACGTGTGAATAGTCCTCGATGCTGCAGACAGGCTGCCTTGCAATTATCATGCATAACATGATCTATTCCCCACCAAGATTAGACATAACTCACATCGTTTGTAAGAGAAAATACAGTGGAGTATCAAACGATTTGTGTCCTCAGGTTTTTCCTCGTACAAACTGCCCTCAGCTTCCAAGATTGCATTTCTTCTAAATAAATTCAATCTATAAATCAAAAATTCAATCTGCAAGGTATTCTGTCCCGAAGTACAAGTAGTAGTAAAACATTAAAAGAATGATACTGACTATCGATTTGATTTGAGGGACAAGAGGCTAGTAAAATAGGAAAGTAGCTAGAGGAGAAGTCAATTTTTTTTTAAAAAAAAAAAAACCTAGAGGAGAAGTCAGTACAACAGGAAAGTAGCAAATGATCATGTGACATAACAATTAAAAGTCAATGGAGGTAGTTAATATATACGATCAAGGTAAAATTTTAAATTTATCTTTAATTTTTTATTAAATTTTTAAATTTTTATTAAAATAAATAAGTTTTAAAATTTACAATTTAAATAATTTAACTTTTTTTATAATAGACTTAATACTTGTTTGTGCACTATTTATGTAAATAAAATATTAATTTATACCAACTACTGAATTAAAGCAAAAATTAAAAAACAAAAACAAAAAAAGAGAGTAAGAACTAGTAAGGCAACTAAGATATATAATTAAGACCATGTTGTTACCATTCAAGAAACTAGATTGTTTTAATAGTAGAGTTTTTGTTTGCATAGGGGATGATTTAGGGTTGTATTATTTTTTAATTCAATTATATTGTATAATTGCAGTACAAAAATAAATTAAAACAAGATAGTCAATACAATTAATATATTATATTACAATCATAAAAAAATATTATTCTAAAAAAAAAAGTGAAACAAGAAATGAAAATTTAAAATACAATGTTTATGCAAAAATAAAAATTCTTAAAATATATTATACTTTTATTTTACCAAAAAATTCTAAAAATACATTTACCAAAAAAATAAAAGCAAAAATATTATATTATAATATTAGTGTTTATCTATCTTATCTCTTAAAAATTATAAAAAAAAATTATATTAAAATTGCATCATTTTAATAAAACACCACGAGAAGAAACTTAAAACAATCTAATTTATAATTTAAAAGCAAAGTATTTTAGTATTTTAAAATAGAAGTTAATTAAAATGATATAATTTTGAAATAATTTTCCTTATTATTTTTAGAAAGACAAATGTATACTTGTTTCTTATATTATTTAATTAAGTTATTTTGTAATCAAATGGTTTGGCTAATTTGAATGTAAAATTACAAACCAAATTATTTAAAATTTTATAATTTAAATCAATTTAAATTAATATCAATTTAGATTAAAATTTAATCAAATTAAATCAGTTTCGATGGGATCAATCAATATAAATTAAATGCAAACAACCCTAGTTAAACCCTTAACTTGTGCACCAAAAAACACCCCTACTTTAATAAAGTAATCTCATATTGATAGTGAACATTAACTACCTCTGTTAATTTTTGATAAAGCCACATATATCCTTTTCTACTTTCCTCTTTTACTAATCTATTCTTTTGCTAGCTAGTTTCCTATTTTACTAGCTTCTTGTCCCCCAAATCAAACCGATAGGTAACCAAGTAATAGGGAAGATGTTGTTAGTATTATTATTATTATTATTTTAAATCTTGGGTTATATATACATAATGGAAGGCAATCCTTTTTAATTTAGAATCTCTTATTTTTATTGAAAGGATATTATCATAGAATTACTTAAATTGTTAGCAAGATATTGATAGTTATGAAGGACTAAATATTGATAATTTTTATTTTTAAAGTGATCTTTACATTGAAATAGATAGTGTTGTTTTTTCATATAAGAAATTGTAATAAATTTTAATTATTTATAATAAAAAAAAATGAATAATTACAAATTTCTATGAATATTGTGTGTAAGTGGGGATGGCGTTAGCACAGGACAAGGAGGGGTACGCATCCCCCCAAACTTCTAAAAATGTCAAAAATGATACAAATATTTTTGTTTTCTACAAAATTTTTATTTTTAAAGTTTGAATTATAAGTACGATTCAAATATAAAGAAATATTTATGACTTGAGAAAAGAGATCATCTATGACTAATTTTTATAAAGAGAGAATAATTTTATTTAGATAAGAACAAATATAAAAGAAAATATCCTAGATCTAACTATATGAAATATAACTTATATGAGTTTTACTTTGCATTGGATATATATAAATTTTTTGTATAGTTGATATTCTATTAAACCAACAGCTAAATTAATTTATTCTATTCATGTAAACTATATGCCCTTAGTTTAAAATTAATTTGATATATATAACCTTAAAAAGAAAATAAACTATATTTTTATACTATTTAATATTTATTTAATGATCTTAAATTATATGCTATTCAAAAATAGTTAAAATAAAATTTGGTGCGGATTATATAAGTGATATGTGCATAAAATTAGTAATTGACTTAAAAAGTGGTATAAATTATATTATGTAAACTTAAAAACAGCTCACAAAAAATTTTAAAATTTTGTCCCCTTAACACAAATTCCTACCTCTATCCTTGTGTGTAAAAGAATCTTAACTTATATATATTTATAAAATTTAATGGTATTGAATTTTCTATAATTAATTAACTAATATAACATTAAGAATTTTTTACTAACGTAAGTTATACTAATATAACTATAAGTTGATCTTGACTATATATATGAGTACAGATCAAGTCTACATGTGTAAGTTTAAGAAATTTTTATACTAAATTTTAATTATATAAAATTTTAAAATTTATTTTAAAATTTTTTTAAAAAGTGACTAAAAATTCGTATGATGCTTATGTCTTCTAAGAAAAAGAAGAATGAGTTGCACGGGTCTTGTAATTAACTAACGTAATTCGTGTAAAGTAATTGAGGCGTGAGTCAGCATTCAATATTTATAAATATATGCCTGGGTTTTTTATTTTGGTTAGAGTAGTGCTATAGATTATGAAAATTTAAAATTAATAATATAATATAAGTTATGTTATTAAATGAATTGATGTGTGCAATATTACGAATCTTAATAAATAAGAAAAATTAATATTAAATAATATAAATTTTACATTTTAATATTTTAAATAACATGTTTTATACCATGTTATTAGATCCAA